TCCATTCTAAAAGTTGATAAATTGTTTTTTATAACAATTAAATACTTTTGTTCTATGAAAGAAGCTTAAGATCTTGAAAAGACCAGCCACAGACTAGGAGAAAACACTTGCAAATCACACATCTGACAGAGTACTTGTATGTAAAAGACACAAAGAACTGTCAAAATCCATAATAACTAAGTAAAAGACCCAAGGAAAATTAAAGGGCAGACGCTTCACCAAAGAAGAGATATGAGTAGCCACAGGCACATGAAAAGGTGTTCAACACCGTTAGTCATCAGGAAATGCAAATTAAACTCTCAGTGATATACCACTGCACATGAGGATGGCTGGGAAAAAACTGACACCACCAAGTGCTGACAAGTATGTGGAGGAACTAGTATACTCACACATTATTGATAGACATTAAAAATGGCAAAGACACTCTCAAAACAGTTTAGTAGTCTGTCATCATGTCAAACATATAATATGACCCAGCCGCACTCTAAGAGCCAGGAAAACTTCGTTTCTCACTAAAACCCGTCCGCAAATAGTCACGACAGTTTCATTCATCACCTTCTCCCTTCTAGGTGATCTACTTCTGATAACAGAACCAAAACATCGGTGTCTGTGGGGACTGCAGGCCACACCTGAGGGTCACAAAGTAACATAAACAAAACACATTTATTGCTCACAGCTCTGACGGCTGGGAGGTCCAAGGTGAAGGCACGAGTACATTTCATGCCTAGTGAGGGCTCGTTCATCACGGACAGCATCTTCTCTGTGTTTCCCACATGCTGGAAGAAAAGAGATGTCTAACCACATCCGTATCTTTCTTGAATATATGTGCATCTATTGCTGTAAATATGAAGTCTATTGCAAAGCGAGACATAATACTTTCAAGTTATTTGCCAACCAAATGCCATTTTTAAAAATAAAGAATAGCTTGAATACTTGACACAAAGATTTTTTAAGTCACAAAATATTGTTTCATAAGATGATTTAAAGTCATGGAAAGATGTTCACAACATGTTGTCATGTGAATAACAAAAACTAACTGAACATATGTATGATAAAATAGCATTTTTTAAGGTAAAATTCACCATTTCAGCCATTTTAAAGAGGCCAGTTCGATAGCATTTAGGACACTCACCGTGTCGTGCAGCCTTCAACGCTGTCTAGTGCCAGGACGTTTTCATCATCTCAGGAGGAAACCCGTCCCCATTAACAGTCGCTTCCGATTCCCACCTCCCCGCAGCTCCGGGCAAACACCAAACTGCTTTCTGTCCCTGCAGATTTGCCCTTTCTGGACATTTGCTGG